CTGTAGACCGTCTGTGCCTCGGCACGATGAGCAGCCCGCAGGCCTGGGAAGAGGCTCTGCTGAGCTGCTGTTTCACTGAATTCCTCTCCTCGTTGATTTGCTATTAAATTATGGTTAGCGTTTCATTAGAGAGCCCCAGCGGGCACGAGTTCATTGGTGTTTTATTGGTTAGAGCTGCGCTTTGTTGCGTTGGAAATGTATCGCAGAGAGCGTCTGCGCTCGTTGCAGCGCTTGCGCTAACGAGCTATGGTTCGGGACAGGGCGCGCGACAGCTTTCCGAGTGCTGCGGCGCAGATTTGCAAGGACGCTTGCCTCTCATCTGGGCATCCGAATAAAGGGCTGGGTTTATGAGAGCGCTTAACAAATCTGGCTGTTGGCTCCTTCTGGGACTTTGGCTTATTTGTTCCCTTCAGTTCTGCCACGGGCCCCCCAGCACAAGGGGCTTTGGCTTCCCGTGGCAGGAGCAGAAGCGCTCGCCCCGGGGCTTGCTCCTCTGCTGGCCCCGGGAGGGCAGGCAGCCGAGGGACGAGCCCGGGCCGTTTCCGCTGCCGGCAGGGATCAGCTAGACGTGGTATTGCACAAGCCTCGCCGAGGAGCTCTGTCTCGGTTCTGTCCCAGTAACGTATGCTGGGTGTTTTGTTAACGCCTTTGCTGGAAGGTACTGGCCTGTCCGCACTTCTTTTCTGGGGCTGTTACTCACCCAAGGCCTGGCTAAAAATAGTCTCTCTAACCCTGAGATATTTTTCAGGTTTGCTGTCTAAGCCCAATTTAATCAGCACTGGGGTTGGCCTGGAATAGAAAGCCCGTGGCTCCAGCAGCTGGGAAATGAAACCTGGTGTTTATAGTCGATGAACGTTAGGACCGATAAATCAGGTTGCGATGCCGTAACGGGAGCAGCGCGGTGCAGTCAGGCTGGGAATGGGGCAGGCTGGGCTGCCAAGGGCTCCGGGTAATTACTACCAAGTAATTACGCTAGGGCTCCCCTTGGCAGGGTTAAACCAGGACACTTCTGCAGCCATTAGGTTTCAGAGACCTCGATGTGACCCCGGCGCGGGTCCGCTTCCTTAGCAAGCGGCAGAGATGGGGGCTCTCGAACGCGGCGCCAAGCTCTGCGCCTCTCCAGAGCAGCTCACCCAGCGTCCTGCCCCGTCCGCAGCCCCCCGCCTGCAGAGCAGGAGCCGGCAGGTGCGGCCGCGCGCCTTGTAGGCTGGCACCTCAAGTCACCCAGAGGTCCCCTCTCGCCCCTTGCCGTCTTTCCTCTTCAGTCCTCTCCAGAGCTTTCGCAGGCCGGGAGGATTAACTCAGCCTTTCCCCGCTCTTCTCCCCAGTACGAGTTTAAAGCCAAGAACATCAAGAAGAAGAAAGTGAGTCTCATCGTCTCGGTGGACGGCGTGAAGGTCATTCTGAAGAAGAAGAAGAAGGTAGGCAGCTC